AGACCTGTGCCTGCCCACAGAGCACCTGCACACCACAGGCAGAGGCTGCCCCACGCGTGCCCACAGACGTGCCCGTGGCGATGCTAGGGCCGGTGCTGCCCCGTGTCTCTTGTCCCCGGGCTCGGCTCCCACCGCACTCTGCCTGTCCTACTGCCCTAGCCCGTGGCCAGCGGCCTGACACCCCCCGACGCCAGCCTGCCCCCCCACGCTGACTCGCTCCCCCGTGCCGATGCCAGGACGGGCCCAACGCCGGCCGGCGATGGAGGTGGGGCGACCGCACCACAGAGAGGGAGCAACGCGCCCCCGAAGAAGAGGGACAAAGCGTGGGAGAAGGACCAGGGCTCCTGTGCCCCGGGGCACCCTGTGGGGCTGGCCGGAGGAGTGGGGCCAGGCTCCGATGCAAGGACCATGACCCCAGAGCCTTGGGGCTGGCCAGAGGAGTGGGGCTGTGCCCCTGGAGAAGGACGGAGGCTCTTGAATCCTGGGATGCTCCCCTGGACCAACCGAGGAGAGATGCTGTGACCCAAGCAGCAGACCAGGGTCCTGAGGCCCTGGAGGGCTTCTGGAGGCCACAGCCCCCTTGCTCCACAGCAGCATCTCGGGGCTCTGGGTCCCCCATATTTATCCCCAAGGCCATGGGGAGCCCAAGGATGCGTGTTGGAGGCTGTGGGGTGCATATCCTGACTGCCCCCAGAGCTGTGTACAGAGGGCAGCCGGGCTGCCCCTGCCTCTTAGTAAATGGCTTTTATTTTTGTATGGACGGCCATGTGGCCTGTTGTATGTATTGTGTCTCCTCGGGTCCCCCCCTGCACCCCTCCACACCCAGTGCCTGTGCCCCCTGCTTCTGCCAGGTGCCCCTCTCGTGCTCCTGCCAGCCCCTCCCCATGATTCTGCCTCCTGCCTGGGGATGTGGGAGTGCAGGATTTGGGACCTGGCCACCGGGGCACGCACAGGGTGGACACTGCACCTCATCTGAGCAATAAAAGGATTCTGTCCCAGAGATGGATGCCTCTCTTCATGGGCCTGGGGGCTGGGATTTGGCTCTGCCCGAAGCTGGGGAGTGATGGGGGGCAGTGCCATCTGTGTTGAGACACTCAGAGATTAGATGAGGGAGTTGGGCGAGGGCCCTGGGGGGACTGGAAGCTTGAGGCTGGGACCATGCAGGGCCAGGAGCAGGATCCTAAATGAGATGCCCCTGGCAGATGGTGGGAGGGCATCATATAGACACTAAGATGGCGGGTGCTGGGGCTTGGGGGACCAGGGCTGTTGTGGGAGCTGAGCGCCATTCCTTGGGGAGCCAGGGTTCCGCTGCTAAGTGCCAGGATGGGTCCCTGGTGACACTTAGTGACCTCTGCTTCTTTTCATCTGGGGAGGGGTGGTATCACCGTGACACCATCCCAGGGGACAAGCAAGGCCCAGAGAGTTTGGGTGCTTTACCCTGTGACAACTGCTAGCAAAGCCCTATCCAGGAGGGTGGTGGCTTTTGCCTCATGATGGCCACAGGCTGTGACATCTCCCTGCAGCTCAGAGAGGGGATTGGCTGGCATCAGGGTGCAGGGGCAGGCAGGTGGGAAAAGGGAGCAGGGCTGCAGCACAGGGTGGGGGAGTGTTGCAGTGCTGGGGTAGGGCACTGCACCCTGAGCTGTTCCTTGTAGCATCCTCCCCAGTGGTACCCTGGCCCAGCACTGCAGGGGATGGGGATGCTGTGGGCATGCCGAGTGCGGCTGGGCGCTCTGCTCCTCAGTCTGTCGCTGGCTCAGGGCTCTGCCTCCTTGCTTTGGGTGCCCCCTGGCACTGCCCTGCCCATCTGGGGCTGTGGTTGTGTGCCGCTCCCCCTGCCAGGCAGGTTTCGGGACTGCCTCCTCAGAGCAGTCCCAGCATCTTGGCTTCACAGTGGGGAGCAAGTGCTGCCATATGTGGCTTGAGCCCCCCAGTGCCACCCCCAGTGACACAGTGACTGGGGGAGCAGGCACCCAGGGAGGCTGGATTGGTGGCTGGGGGTGTGTAGGAGACATGTGCATAGTGATGATGCCAGGGCAGGTTTAATCCCGGGTGGGCAAAGCCGGGCAGCCTGGGAGGGTCTTTGTGCATTGTCAAAGGCTGATGCTGAGGGTCTGGCAGATGGGTAACCCTCCTGTCCTCTCTCTCCCCGCGCAGAGCACTCAGCCGCTGCGAAGACGGGGGGCTGCTTCCCTGGGCGGGCACTGGCAACTCTGGAGGATGGTGCCCGGACACCGCTGTGGGCACTGCGCCCAGGCCAGAGGGTACTGGCAATGGACGAGGCAGGCAGGCCCATCTACAGCGACTTCTTGGCTTTCCTGGACAAGGAGCCCCGTGCTCTCACCTCTTTCCACGTCATCGAGACACAGGAGCCACCCCGGCGCCTATCCCTGACACCCACCCATCTGCTCTACGTGGCTGAGAACTCCTCAGCGCCCGCCGCCCAGTTCCGCCCCACCTTTGCCAGCCACGTGCGCCCTGGACATTTCGTGCTGGTGGTGGCAGAGCGGGGCAGCTTGCAGCCTGCTGAGGTGGTGCGGGTGCAGGACCAGAGGGACGTGGGAGCCTATGCCCCGCTGACGCGCCATGGGACACTGGTGGTGGATGACGTGGTGGCCTCGTGCTTCGCCCTGGTGCAGGAGCAACATCTGGCGCAGCTGGCCTTTTGGCCACTCCGGCTCTACCACAGCCTGGTGGGGTGGCCAGGGGTACAGGGTGACGGTGTGCACTGGTACTCGGAGCTGCTCTACCACCTGGGCAGGCTGCTCCTGCCCCCCGACAGCTTCCACCCACTGGGTGTACCCCAGGTGGAGAGCTGAGGGTGCACCCTGGCCGGTGCTGCTGGCGCAGGTGGTGGCTGCGGGGCGGCTCACCGGTAGCCAGCATCGCCTCCCAAAGCTGGGTGCCCATGGGGAGCTGCCTCCAGCCCTGCCTGCTTGGGGCACAGCCACCTCCTGGTTGGGGGGCACCAGAGCTCCCTGTTGTGCCTCCTCCATGCCTGCCACCCTCCTCCCCACCCCTGTTCCTGGGGGCACGGGGGGAGGCATGAAGGGTCAAGCCCTCTGGACATGGGGGTGCCCCTGGCTGGATCCACATGCTGCTATTTGTGTGTGTGCGTGTGATGTGTGTGTGCGTGTGCAGAATTAGCTAACGACGGAGGTCTGGTAGACGAGGGGGAGTGGGAAGAGGGGTTCCCATGGGGCTCCCAACCTGCCTGCTCCCTGTGGGAAGGCTCTGGGAGAGGGGCCCCAGGGCCCTTTGCTGGGCAGCCCGGGTGGGAGAGCGGGAGATGCCACTCCCACCCTCGGGACATGGCAGCTGGGACGAGGGTGACCTGGGTACTGGGATGGTGCCTTGCCCTTAGCCCAGACTGTGGGTGCATGGGGGCATCCAAAACCAGCCCCTCTATGCCTGGGGTGCCCAAGCACAGGTAGGGCTGGAGGGGATGTTACAGCTCTGGCACAAGACCCCTGATTTGGTGACACAAGTGCTGCTGGAGCGAGACACTGGGGAGCAGCACCCCAAGCTCTGCCCAAAGCCAGCACTGTAGCCACCTGGCCAGGCATGCCCGTGGGGAGGCTGTGACAGCACGGGGAGATCCAGCTGGCAAGAGGAGCTTGTGGAGGCAAGGTGTGCAAGCAGGAAGCTGCGAGTGCCAGGCAGGCATGGGCCTGCACTGGTGGGAGCAGGGGTGGGGAGAGCTGGGGCTGCAGCCCCAGCCTGCTGGAGCCAGTGGAAGAAGAGTGGCTGGGGACTTGGAAAGTGCTCCCTCCCTTGCCTTCCCGGCATCCAGCCCTGAGCTGGCTCAGCCCAAAGCCATACCTTTCTCACCCCAAAGCTAAAAAAACTCGCCAAGCTCCAGACCCTGCCTGGCCTAACCTCCCCAACCCCCCAGCACCCCAAACCCTCAGGGTAACACTGCTGCTCACCAGCTCCCAGGATCTGGGGGGAATCCCATCAGAGCTGCAGTCACGGTGCCCCTGCCAAATCCTAGCTAGAGCCTCAGCCTCCCCTGGCTCCACGTGAGTGGAGGTGAGGGGACTGGAGGGGGGCTGTGACCCGTGTCCCCCCTGCAGCATCACACGTCTTTATTTATTTATCTGCTCTTTGTATGTACCATGGGAGGCAGCGTGGGCACGTGCAGGGTGAGATGGGAGTGGGTGGGGGGAAAAGCTGTTTGGTTAGGGGGGATGATTTTTTTTTTTTAACAAAAAGCAGAAATTATTTAAAGATTATTTTAAAGCACAGTTTTTATGGTGATTGTTGTCCAGGGCAAAGTGAGAGAGCGCGAGCGTGGCCGACAGCAGGTGTATTTTTGTCTCTTCACTGGATGTACATTTCCTGGTCGGGGACACAGCCCAATAAATCCATCATTTCCCAGGTGGGCGCTCTGAGCTCTGGTATGGGAAGGATAGGCAGGGACTGGGGACACTTACTGCCTGTCATAAACAGAGCAAGCAGGGCTAGAGGCATCTTGCAGTTCTCTAGGAGCAGAATTTGGCCACCTCAGTGCTCCCCACCTCTCTCTGTTCCTCCCAACTCCCCCATTCCCAGGGGAGGTGGACAACCAGAGGCTGCAAAAATGACCCAGCATACATGGGACCAAGATGTCATTGGTGCCTCCTGGAAACTTGGGCAAGTGGGTATGATGTAGGAGAGACAGCCACTATGGGACTGCCTGGGACACCTTTCCACCCCAGTCTGGGCCCATCACCGCAGCGCCTGGCCATGCTGGGACACCCTTCCTCACCATCTCCATCACCACTAACTCACTGTTCCCAAAGATGGACCCCCTACCCTGTACACTGGGTTTCCAGTGTTACTAATGCTCGTCACTGTCCCCTCGCCCCTTGTCAGCCCTGTACCCCCTCAACCCCATCCCATGCCAGCAGAGGGAAGCCACCAGTCAGCACCCCACACAGCCTCCTCATACCCATGCCATACATGCATCCCTCTGTGCACCCCCTGCCCCATCTCCAAGCTGCCCTGCCCTAATCTCCGGGGTGGGGTGGGGTGGGGGGGGCGGCCTGGGAGTGGGGTCCCCCTGGGCTTTCCCTAGACCCCACAGCATGGCGAATGCAGAGCAATTCAGCAGCAGGCTGTCAGCAAGGGCCCTCATCACTACGGCTAATTTAAGGGCTCTGTGAGGCGGCTGAGCTAATTTAATTAGGTTCTTATTACAGAGAAGGACAAATTGGTCCCCAGGGGGCCACGGGGTCAGGCTTTCGAGAGGCGCTTTATGGAGTGAAATTTCAATCAGGCTGCCGGCATGGGCACGGCGGGGGGAGCCGGAGGCAGGGGATGGGTGGGGTGAGGATAAGCCCTTTGGGGTTCCCTGTGGTGCAGTGGGCAGCCCATCTCCAGGCTCAGGTTTTTAGGGTATCAGCAAGTATGGGGAAACAGCTCTATCCCATTAGGAGGATGCTGCAGGGTGTTGGGGGGGGCTGCTTTGGAGTGGAAGCAGGGAAAGTGGGGGGGTCCTGGCTCTGGCCTGGCCCCAGGGCAGTAAGAGGAAGTGGGGACGCCCATAAATAAGATTCTGGAGTCTTTCTGAAACCCCATAAACTCCCCCCTAGCCTGTTAAAGCCCCATGACAAGGATGGTGAGGACAGAATGATGCCCAGCTGACAGACAGAATTTATGGAGGGCTCTGGGTTCTCTTCTTTCCCTGGATGTCCTCCCTGCTCTTGTCACTTAACCCCAGGAGAGCCAGGGAAGCCTGGGGGCTGCCCCACTGCTCATGGGCACCTGAAGCAGCCCTATCTCCAAGGGTGCCAGTCTCAGGTTGGGGTGGTCACACCAGGGTCCAGGCTGGTTGGTGATGGATGGGATGCTGGTGGGTGGCCGGCAGAAGGGCCGGGCTGGAGGGTACCACAATGGATGTCTCTCCATCAATTTGTCCTCATTACCATGTGAATGGTGGGTGGGAGTGAGAGGAAGGGCATGTGGCGGCAGGAGAAACCCCCCACATGCTCCCATCTGGGGTAGCGCATCACCCCCACCATCGCTCCAGCCCTGTCTGAGTGTGTTAAACCAGCAGCAACAACCCCCCGGCCCCAAATTCAGGGGAGGAGAGGTACCACCCCCTATTCAGAGCCTTGAAAAGGCTACAGGGTCCAACGCTGTTAACAAGGGGGGATGTTGTCCCCATCCCCGCCTCTCCCGTCTGTCCCTCACCCTGCAGCCTTCTGCCGTGGCAGCACCAGCCAACCCTGCTCCCCCAGGCTAGCACACTGGGTGCGGGGGTCCTGGCAAGGGGTGGTGAGGGGTGTCGGGTATTGGAGTGTGGGAGCGGAGCACCCCAGAAGCATCTCCTGTTTGTAGGGAACTGCACCTTTGAGCAGGGCGGTCAGCAGATGAGAGCAGGGTGGGGCTCTTACAGGACTCCAAGACCAAACCTTCCCCACAGAGGAGGAATATCTCCAAGCAAGGAGGTTGTTTGTTCCCATCATACAGGAGCTCTGGGTCCAACCAGGTCCCCATGGACGGGGCTGTGATGGTGATGGGGGGATCACCCCAAAATGTCTGGGCCTGTGGGTATTGGTACAGAAGTTTGTGGGGGGTCCTCCTCCAAGCGAGGGCAGACCGACCCATAGTTGCCCCCCCAGAAGCCCAGGAGAGGATGCCCAGCCCAGCTCAGCCCTACACGCTAGCAGCCAGTGGGTGCCCGCAGAGGGAGCCAGTACCTGCCTCCCACTCTCACATTAGCTTAATTTAGCTTAATGTCTTTTCGGAGTGCTGCTGCTCCAGCGGCAGGGCCAGGGGCAGGACCCTGCTCTCTGCAGCGCTGTTAGAGAGGGGGTCCCAGTGCTCTGGCCCCAGGCCCACCAGAACCCCAGCAGGGTGCATGGTGTGGGCTGCAGAGCCCACCCTGTGCCCCAAATGACTCCACCACCTCCCTCTCTATCCCAAGCCCCCTACGTCCTGCCCCTCTCTCAACCGTGGAACCCGTGTGGGGACAGCCTTGGAGAGCCCCCTCGATTGCAGGGGTTGTCTGTCCCTCCCCAGAGCCCCTCCACCTGCACTTGGCAGCTTCCCCCAGGCAGCGATGGAGGTGCTTTAGCAGGCAGCAGCCTCTAGGAGTCACACCACAGCCTGCTGTGCCTGTACAGACACAGACAGACAGACACACACATCCACCCCCTACACAAACATTTATCTCCTGGCAGACACATGCCCAGCACCTCACCAGTCGGGCTTGGACTTCCCCCGGCTCTCAGCATCACTATCCAATACCACAAATAACTCTCCTTCCATCCTGGATACTCTATAACCCCAGCAGTGTCTGGAGCACCCAGGTGTCCCTGTGTCCCTAATCTGTGTCCCCTCTGGGGACAGGCTGGGAGACATGCACATGTCCCCTGGTGACCACACGGTCACTGTGAGGACCACAGGACACAGGCAGTGCCCACCTCTGCAGACATGCCCACCCCACATCTACAGATGCAGAGAGCACCTGGACCCATGGAGGGGGCTGACACCCTCTGCCCCCACCAAGGGGAGCACCCTCTAGCTACCTCCCCCACAGCATGGGGTGCGGAGTGAACACACCAAAACCTGCCTTTCCCTTCCCCTATCCCATCCTCGGTCAGCAGGAGCCACCCAGCACCCACTGCGGGTCCCTGCTGCAGGGCAGGCAGAGCTGGGGATGATGCTGGTGGTCCCCCACCTTCTGTACAAGGGAGGGGTAGGCAGGGGCGGCTGGGGACTGTGTGGGGAGGTCTGGCAGCAGGCATCATCCGTCACCTTGTACACTGTCCCAGTATGAGACGGGGGGGGCTCCCAGTGCTGCGGGAACATACAGCAGGATACTGGGGGAGACCCCGCAGCCCTCCAGCGCTGACCTTCCACGAGTGGCTCTGGGGTGCCCCGGGCGTTGGGACAGGGGCTGTGTGAGTATGTGCCCATGCGCAGGGGACAAGTAAGAATCTAATCAGGGTCCTTTTCCTTAATAAATCATTCGTCTTAATCCAATGCCCTCCTTCCTGCGCTAATAACTCCCGGTGCTGGGCCCCACAGCCACAACAATGCGGCTAATGGAACGATTTATTTTCATAATGGTGTTGGTGGGGAGAAGGGGCGGCCGGGGTGGGGGCAGCACACTCTAGGGCAGGAGTTTCTAATTAGTGAATGAAATTTGATGTAAGGCTGGAGGAAGATGGATTCGCTGCCTGACAAGGGGCCTTTCAGCTCATCAAAGCACCCGAACAGGGAGGTAAATTAAATTATTTCTAATTCTTCACTAACCTCCAGGGAGTCACCCTTCCACCAGCAAAAGGTGGGTCCATTCCTGGAATGAAGGGGAGCCTGAAGGACTGAGGTTGAGTGGAAGGGACCAGGTTCTGTGAAGGGATGGGGAAGACAAGGTAGCATGGGATGGGATGGGATGGGATGGGATGGGATGGGGTGGGACAGCATAGTGGGACAGGCTGCCACTGGCTTTGCTGGAACAATGGGGAGGAAAAAGCTGATGATGGAGGAAAGAGTTGCAAATGGTCAATAAATAGACAGCTCCAGGAACTAATGACTAATTTGCAGCAAGTTTTCCATCCATGTCTGTGACCTAACCAGACCTAGATCAGGGCTGAAACGCAGCTGGTGCTGGGGTAGAGCAGAGCAGCCCAACAGTAAGGAAATGGCATCCCAACCCCCAGGGCATTTGAGCAGGGACAGCACTTGGTTTTGAAGGGTTGACTGATGCTGAAGCAGGTGAAGGGTCCAGTGCAGGAGAATTCTTCAGCAAAGACCCTTGTTCTCATGGCTCTGTATGATTTGAGGCCAATGCCAGTGATGTTAATGTTGGTGGCATGAAAGCTGTTCTTGGGATGCACGGTGTTTTTTTCTAAATCCCCAGCTCCTGGAGTCCTGTGATGGAGACTCAATTTTTTACAGATAATAAGTGTACTCTCTCCTAGCACGCCTGCTTTCAGGGGAACCTTGCAGTGCCAACCTGCCACTAGTCCACATGTCCCCAATACCAGAGTGCAAAGAAAAAGGCTTGGTGCTACAGCTGAAACCAGCCCCTTGCTCTCCCCAGAGCAGGGAGCATTACAAGCTGACTCAGAAGC